CCTAAGTAGTTCCTTATTGTGGTTTATACTTAGAATCCTATAAGGTAATCCCAAAAAGGAACTACTTAGGATCCTAAACCCTAAACCCTGAACCCTTTCAGGTAATCCCAAAAAGGAACTACTTAGGAGCCTATGGGTACATGAGGAGACTACAGGTCGGACCTTAGCTTTCTTCGCGACTGAGGGTCTGAGCGTCTTCAGGGTTTGATGTTGAGTGTAGAGGCAATCGGGCTTTTGGGGTCTAGCGGCTTCAAGGGGTTAAGGCTTTTTTTTTTGGGGGTGGGGGGGGGGAGGGGAGGGGGTTCTCAGTGCTTAGGGGTTTTTGGGATTTGAGGTTTCCAGAGAGTAGGGGTGTTCAGGGTTTAGGGTTTTGGGGCTTGGAGGGTTTAAGGGTAGGCTTTGCGGACCAAGGGTGGGTCATATACACACACATATATATATATGTGGCTTATGAACTGGGCAACGACAGCCGGTAGAGGAGGCTGAGTACCTAGTGACATTCCCCTATTGCCCATTTGTGACAGCTCCTTGTTGGGTCCTTTGCACCCTTCGGGTTTTGAATGGAATCCTAAAGATCGGTCCCAAAACCCCAAATGCTAAACCAGAACAAATGTCATACGAACAGCAGCTGTGAGAATCTGAGAAAGGGAGCCCTTAACAACTACAAAAGCTACTCAAATCTCTACTGTTTGGGTACTCGGACCCACTCAGAAACTCAAATTGTCATGATGAGGTCTATGACCCTGCAACGGGGAAGCTGGTGCGTCTCGATGCCCGGGAACTCGGCCCTTTCACAGGCATGTGCCCTGAATCTTCACTTGTGTTCCCATATAGGGGCCCTAACAAATCGAAGATTGTTTTGGGCTCCCTTTATAGTATCATTATGATGGAAACCCTCGGAAAATTTTAGGTTAGTATTGGCAATGATTTGGAGGGCTTTCCCGAACGGCAAGTATCTCATGGTTTAGACCCTCGGTGTTGAGGGTTGAGGGTTCAGGGCTGTAGGTCAACAGGCTGCGGCGCTCAGCAAGATTCGCGGTACCCTTGTGCAAAGGATCCCTGAAGCCTAAACCCTAAACCTAAACCCTAAACCCTACACCCCAAAGCTGATGGTGTTTATTAGAGGCTTGTAGGGGGTGTAATTAGCGTTGAGGAGCTTTGGGGTTTAGGGTTTAGAGTTCAGGGTTTGGGGACAAGGGTTGTGCCAGGCTCGAACTGACTGGGGCAGTTAGTCCCGTTGCTTACCGAGCTGCTTATTGCCGGATCCAACTACTAGCCACAGCACGGGTCAAGCAATTGAGTGTTATGGGTACAACCCGACTAGACCTGAAACTGCAAACCCAGTTGAACGTGCCTAAGTCCTCGTCCCCCCTGAACCTAACCCTAAACCCTAAACCCTTCACCCTAAACCCGAAGACCCCACACCCTTAACCTCAAACCCCAAGCTTCATACTTATCCAAAATCCCATCCAAAATCCCAACCCCTCAGTCTGAAATCCCGTGAAGCCCGACATCGTCCTTTTGGGACCTAAGAACAGACCCGAATGTAGAGAACTACTGTAGAGGTCTGAATGATCACTTTTCATTTCCCTCAACCCTAAACCTAAACAGACACCTCAATATAGGGGCCTAAATTCTTGCCAGTACTATTTTGGGGGCTCCTTATGATAATTATAGCATAAAGAGCCCCATTATATTTGTAGTATAATGGACCCCGAAACCTTGTTCTAATTCTCAAGGCCACCCTAAACCCTAAACCCTAGGCCCGATTCTAACTCAAAAGGTTTCCATGCTGCCCAGCCGGCTCGAGGAGTAGCTTGCAATGGAGAAGTACAGACAGTTCACGGATTTAGCTTGTGGGTTTAAGGCGTATAGGGTTTTGGGTTTAGGGTTCAGGATTTAGGTTGTGGGTTGTGGGCTTGACCCTAACCCTCCAGGTACCTACTCTAGAGGTTACTAGAGCCCCTACACCCCTATATCGTAGACACCTGGAGGGTTAGGTTCGGGTTTTGGCTTTAGGGTTGGTTTCGGATGTAGGTTGTGGGTTTAAGGCTTTCAGGGTTTAGGTTCAGGGTTTAGGTTTTAAGGCTTATAGGGTTGGTTTCGGATTTAGGCTGTCTGTTTTTTGGCAGGGTTCTGGGTCAGAGAAGTCAGTCGCAATTCTTCCCAGCGACTCCCAGAGCTTTTAGTCAAAAATCTACCATCGAGGTTGAGGGTTTAGAGGTTTAGGGTTTAGAGGTTTAGGGTTTAGAGGTTTAGGGTTTAGAGGTTTAGGGTTTAGGGGTTTAGGGATTTAGAGTTTAGGGTTTAAGGGTTTAGGGTTTGAAGAAAAAAGTAGTATGAGTTAAGGTTTATTCCTCAATTACGGTGCTTTGGAGTCTCTTGATTCTGGTTGCTTTACGGGTCTTTCGGGTATAGGCTTTCCCATATATTCCCCAAAGCCCTGCAATGCTTTACATCTGGAGCGTGTCCGGAGACCAGCTGGCGGCTATGCCAAGCGCAGACGTTGAGGACGTGCGGACACTTGGCCACCCCATAGGGGATCCCAAGTACCTCGATCTAGCCCTAACCCTTCAGGTGCCTACTATACAGGGCCCTAGGGGCTCTAGTACCTTCTATAGTAGGTATTAGGGTAGGGTTTAGGGGACCACCTACTACAGAAACCCTACTTTGTACTAGGTGCTTAGGGCCTACACTGACCTACACGCTTACCCCAAGGCTCAGATGACTCGGACTGCAGGGGTCTAAGGCCTACAGACCATGCTGTATAATGCTGTTGGGCCGCTTTTTTGCAAAGCCCTTTAAACCCTATGCCTTAAACTCCACCTGCAGTCGAAAAGACCTACCTCTTTAGGGCTCCTTATTATGGCTTCTATACAAAGCTCCGTAAGAAGGTAGGTCTTTTGGGCTACAGGCCGGCTACAGGTATACCCTATCGTTCAGGCTTTGTGGTGTTTGATCACGGGGACTTAAGCCACCCGCAGGGGCTTCTGACGGGGGCCGCGATCGGGCGGAGTTGCCACAGGGTCCTAAGTACCTACTTAGAAAGTAGGTTCTGCTTAGCCGGACCCTAAGCCCTACACCCTAAACCGTAAACCCTATACCCGAAACCCTTACTCGTATGATTTGAGAAAGTGTCCCGCGTACAGCTACGTAGGACCCTTTACAAGCAAGCTCCTCAACCCCCTAGATAACCTTACCCTTTTCAGGGTTCCTTATTATGATTTCTACCTACCCTTTTGGGGTTCTTTATTATGATTTCTGCCTACCCGTTTAGGGCTCATTACTATGATTTCTATCTGCTCGCTCTTTTAGGATTCCTTGTTCTGATTCCTCCATGGAGCTCCTTAACAACGTAGCTGGCGGCATGTGCAAGTGTCAGACAAGGACAGTGAAAGCAGAGCTGTACCGATTGCACGGATGGTCGCGATTTCGGCAGAGGCTCCTTCACGACGGCTGTGTTTTGGAGAACACTGCCAGTTTCTGGGTTCTTGTTAAGCGATTTAATAGGGATCTATAGTACATACGATGGTTTCCTTATTATGGTAACTTAAGGTAAACCCCTTAACAAGAACCCAGGTTTGGATGGCCGCGTCGATGTGCAAATGCTTCTCGTGGATTTTGCATCGACTAGCTGGCATCAAGCAGACTCGCTGACCAAAGCTGTCACGTCGGGCAACGTGGGTCTGGTTGCAGAGATCTTGGATAGGCCACAAAACCCAAACTTTGTCGACACGCAAGGCCGCAAGCCGCTTGGTTTGGCACTCCGTGGCGGTCACATTGGCAGCTGGGCTCTTGTGAGTAAGACAAAGGTGTAACGTTGAGTTTGTGGTTCCGAATTTTGTGAGTACACCATAGTCGGGTATCACTTTCAAGTTCCGTCCCAGAGACTCCAAAACCCTTCAAGTAAGGGACATACCTAAAGTCTTATCAGGGCTCCCACTGTTGATGATATATTCCTCATTATGGGATCATGCAGGATTTCTATCATCGACCGCAGCATAATTTCAAGGCTCTTCAATAAGGAATATACCTTATAATTTAAGTCTTACTAGGGCTCCTAGTATAAACCCTAAACCCTAAACCCTAAACTAAACCCTAAACCCTCAACCCTAAAGCCTAGGCATTGCACAGCTGCTGTTAGAGGCTGGGGCCGGCAAGGATTTCATCGGGCAGTGGCGACAGGAAGCCTTTGAGGAGGCCATCATGCGAGGACCCAATGGGGGTTTAGGGATTTAGGGATTTAGGGGTTTAGGGGTTTAGGGTTTATAATGGTTTAGTAATTTAGGGGTTTAGGGTTTAGGGGTTTAGGGTAGGGTTTAGGGGTGTAGTAATTTAGGGGTTCAGGGTTTAGGGGTTTAGGGTTTAGGGGTTAGGAGTTTAGGGTTTGCTTTGAAGCTTTGAAGGATTTAGGGTGTAGGGTTTAGGGTTCATGCGAGGACAAACGGAAGTGGTTCAACTGCTGCTCGAGGTCGGCGCGCACAAGTCTTGGGTGACGCAGAATCGTGACATGCTTCCATTTGCCGTGCAATGTGGCTAGGTGCCCCAGTAGTACCCTTTTGCGCTTTTTTGTTTGGGGTCCCCTTATTAAAACCGAATATTAAGAACAAGGGTACCCTCATAATTAAGGGGTTACTGGGGAACCTAGGTGGTCAGACCGACATTGTGACCCTGCTGCTGGCTGCCGGGTTCAAAGAAGCCATGATTAAAGCCCTCCTGTTTACCATCATTCAGAATCGTGTCGACATGCTGCGGCTGCTGCTAGATGCTGGTGTCCAGCGGAGAGACCTGAGAATTGCATGCCAAGCCGCTTCGAATGAGCAAAAGCATGACATCGTTCAGGTGCTACTGGGCTCTTGTTAGTGAACTTAATTCCAGTTACACTTACCCCACTGGTGTTAATTCTAAATAATGTTGTTTGTTCATTGTCTCTGGTAACTTAAACTAACTTCCTCAAAAAGAACCCAGGCTAGTGGAAGCTGGGGCAAGCCCACCGGTTGCTGCCACTGGACCCCGTCGAGACACTGAAAGCTTTCATGCCGCTGCGCGCGCTATAGCTCTACGAGGTGGTCACACCGCACAGACGGCAGATGCTATCCGGGAGCTGTTTCATTCTTCATTTCAAAATTCGCCTCCTCCTCCCCCTACAATTCCTCCTCCGCCGTCACTTTCCCCTCCCTTGCCTCCTGTTCCATCATTCCGCCCGCCACCACCGCCGCCAACCTCCACCCTTCCACAGCCCGACACCGCGGCCCCAAAGATGCCTACCTGCCATCGCGGCTTCCATGAATCCTGGGTCTGCGTTAGGATCGGTTTTCCGTTTTCTACCCGCGTAGTAACATAATAACAGGAATAAGGACAGTAATGATCACAACAGTATTGAACGCAATAACGACTACAATCCTACGGTTAGTAATGATCACAACAGTATTGAACGCAATAATGACTACAATCCTACGGTTAGTAATGATCACAACAGTATTGAACGCAATAATGACTACAATCCTACGGTTTAAGTGCCTTCATGAATCGTGCCAAACCCTAAACGCCAAGCGCTAGAAAACCCTAAACCGAAATCCTAAACTCTAGACCCTATTAAACCCGAAACCCAAGCCCCTTTACCCTTATAGATCCCATAAAAGGAGGCCTTAAGGGAACCCCTTTAGATCCCCTTAAAGGACCCTATAAGCCTTAATGAAACGCCTTAAGGGAACCCCTTTAGATCCCCTTAAAGGAACCCTAAGCCCTAAAGTCTTCGCTGAGGGC